GAAGGTGTTGACTTCAATGATGTATTTTCCCCTGTTGTGAAGCACAAATCCATTCGAATGTTGCTTGCCATGGTGGCACAGTTCGACCTTGAACTGGAACAAATGGATGTGAAGACTGCGTTCTTGTATGGTGACTTAGATGAAACAATCCTGATGAGGCAACCTGAAGGGTATGTCGAAAAGGGGAAAGAAGATTATGTGTGCAAACTGAAGAGATCTTTGTATGGACTTAAACAATCTCCTCGACAGTGGAATAAGAGATTCGACAAGTTCATGGAACACATAGGTTTCATTAGAAGCCAGTTCGACCATTGTGTTTACTCCAGATTTCGACCTGAAAATTCATTTGTAATTTTGTTGCTTTATGTTGATGATATTCTGATAGCAAGCAACAATGTCGAAGATGTAATAAGGGTGAAGGCTGAACTCAATAAGGAGTTCGACATGAAGGATCTGGGAGCTGCATCTAGGATTCTTGGAATTGACATTCGAAGAGATAGAAAGCAGTCGAAATTATGCTTATCTCAAGAGGCATACCTACGAAAGATTCTTGACAAGTTTGGTATGTCGAACTCAAAGCCTGTTGTGACTCCAACAAACCCTCAATTCAAGCTGAGTATTGATCAATGTCCCAGTACTGATGTTGAAAGAACCTATATGGATAGCATCCCATATGCTAATATAGTTGGTTCTTTGATGTATGCTATGGTCTGTACTAGACCCGACATAGCATATGCAGTAAGTCTTGTAAGCAGGTACATGGCGAATCCTGGGAAGGCTCACTGGCAAGCGTTAAAGTGGATTTTAAGGTACATAAATGGGTCTCTGAACAGAGTCTTAATTTATGGTGGAGCCTTGGGTGAAGATAGTAAAGCAGCTGTCGAAGGCTATGTTGACTCTGATTATGCAGGTTGTATGGATTCCAGAAAATCTATTTCTGGATATGTTTTCACTATGTTTGGTACAACAATTAGTTGGAAAGCAACTCTTCAGAAGGTTGTTGCCTTATCAACTACTGAAGCAGAATATATTGCCCTAACTGAAGCTGTGAAAGAAGCATTGTGGCTTGAAGGTTTTGCAAAGGAGCTGAAACTTCAAGGTCAAGGTATCACTGTTAAATGTGATAGTCAAAGTGCAATACACCTGTCGAAGAACTCAGCCTATCATGAGCGAACCAAGCACATAGATGTGAGGCTGCATTTCGTCAGAGGGGTAATCGAGCGTGGAGAAGTCCAAGTGCTGAAGGTCTCGACATATCACAATGCCGCTGATATGATCACCAAAACTTTGCCAAGTTGCAAGTTTTTCCACTGTATGCAGTTGATAAAGCTGCATGAAGAAAGCTAGTTAGTGTCTCTTGATGCTGTAGAGTTAGGTCCAAGGTGGAGATTTGTGGGATTTTGGATCGAACTCTAGTTGGTCGAAGTACTTGCTGTAGTCGAAGAAGGGTCTAGCATGTATTTGTCGAAGGATGCTTGTCGAATTAGGTTTTAGTGTTTAAACCCTAATTTGTTAAGTTAGCTTGTTTGTTAAGTTAGCTTGTATAATGGGCCTTGTGGAAAAAGCCCATTAGTTAGTATGTTAGGTTTTATTATAAATAGCATACTAGTCTCTCATCATTGCCATCACAGCAAATCCTAATTAGGGTGAGAGGGTTATTTGTTATTCTTGTAAACTTGTAATCTTGTTTTCTAAGAGAAAGTAAAGAATAGCAGTTATAACCAATTCTTGTGTTCTTCTTCTTCATTGTTCTTTATTCTTCCCTAATACTATACTTTGTTATTGGCATTGAATTCACAACAGTTTTTATCTTGAAGAAGAAGATCAATTGAAGATTGATAAAGCTCTCCATATACTTCAAACTAAATCATTGTATTACTTAAAGAAATTATTCCCTTACTATCCAGGATTGTTGGAAGTAAGTGTTGTGATTTGAAGAGGATTGTTCTTCATTCACATTAGTGTTTGTTTGGTCTTAAAGGTGTTAAGAACCTTTGATCACCCTATAGGTTAGATAGTAAGCATAGGCTGTACAATCATTCTAACTATAGTGAAATCTCTTTCGTGTTGGAAAGGGGACTGGAGTACTCTTGGATTGTGAGGGGAACCAGGATATATCACCGTGTTCTTTACTTTTCCGCATTTATCGCTTTCATCACCATAATCAGGAAAAGATAAAGATATAATCAAAATCTTCAAACACTTAACCAAAAATTACCACCAAGCATTCTCATAAAACCGAATAAATTTTATAAGACCTAATTCACCCCCCCCCCCTCTTAGGCACTCTGAGACTTACATAAACATCTAATAAAAACGATGCAAGAACAACTTATTACCCCTCATGCATACATTTATATGTGAGACGATATTTTTTGTAGTAGTTGCTAAAAATGTATTCTTCGAAGTGACTTCATGTAGTGTTAATAGTTATGCATGATTTTATGAAGTTGTTGCCATGAATTGTTTCATAGATCTCCCTGAAATGGAAGTACCATCACATGTAAACAAATAGCATGTTTCTGATCTACCATTATGAGGATCTGACAAGTAACCTACATCTTTGAGATAACGAAAAATATGTTTGAATTTGTTCCAATGTCTTAGTGTAGGTGAAGAAATATATCTTGCTAATAGATTAAGTGCAAGTGATATATCAAGACGTGTATAATTAGTAAGGTGCATTAATGCTCCAATTGCACTGACATATGGTACTTCAAGACCAAACAAATTTTCATCATTTTCTCAAAGCTGAAAGGATATTTCTTTACATCTAATGATGTAATAAGCATTGAAGTAGACAATGAATAAGATTTGTCCATATATAAGAGTTTAAACACTTTTCTATATAACCTTCATGATGTATAAATATTTAATTGTCCAGATTCTCAATTTGTAAGCCTAGACATAATTTTGTTTTTCCTATGTCCTTCATCTCAAACTCTTTCTTTAAGTAATTTATAGCTTTTGGAAGATCTTCAAGAGTTCCAATAATATTTATGTCATCCACATAGACAACTATTATTGCAAAACCTTTTCCACATCCTTTTATAAAAATACAAGGACTGATGAATTTATTTGTATATTCATCCTTTAGTAAACATTCACTGAGGTGATTATACGATACACGTCCAGATTGTTTCAACCCATAGAGAAACTTGTTTAATTTGATGGAATAGTTTTCTCGAGATCTAAAATTACATGTCTCTATATATTGAATCCTTCAGGGAGTTTCATGTAAATATCACTATTAAGTGAACCATATAAATAAGATGTCATAACATCCATCATGTTTAAATTAAGCCCTCCATGTGCTACAAGGCTAATTAAATATTAAAAATCAATTGAATCCACTACAAGTGGATATGTTTTATCAAAATCAATCTTAGGTCTTTGTGAAAATCATTGAGAAACAAATCAAGCTTTATACCATTCTTATTTTGCTTTTTCACAAAAACTCATTTATATCCAATTGGTTTCACACCTTAAGATGTTCGAACTACAGGTCCAAAAGCGAGTCACTTGTAAAGTGAGTTTATATTGGCCAATTCTCACTTTGTCTACAATCTTTGATAAACTTTGATTCATGATCCTCGTTATCATTTATCATCTTTATCGCTATATTTTATTCAAATACATTTGTCAATATTGACTTTATTTTGGTTCCATCAAATTCTATCTATGACATGTTTTATCGAGATCTCTTTATTTTTATATATTTCATATATTTCAGGTACCTGATTAGTTCTTCTGGAACTCAAAATAAATTATGTCAAAATATTCTTAGAATTTTCATATCTTCACTTGGGACATATTTAATTTTAGCTTATTTGCCTTGTAGAGGATTAATAATATTGGAATCGACTTTCCTATCATACTTCATGTACGATTTCAATTCATTTGCAATATTAGATTATCCAACAAGAGAATCCACTTCAATTGTAGTATTAGCAGCTATAATTGATTGTAAAAAATTTGCAAATGAATAATATTTCAAATTTCAGGTTCATATTGGTTTGTACGAGGATCAAGATATAAAATTGTTCATTGAACTTCTTGTTCATGATCTCAGCTGCTTATCCCCTATTCCTAATATTGAAAAAATTAATTTATTAAGTGATAATCAGCCTACTGGACCGTAATCAAGTATTTTATTATTTGCTCAAATTATATCCTCAAAATTGGGTTTCATATCAAATATTTTTTCAATATCCTTTCATGACTCATCTTAATGGATTATATTTGAGCAATTGAAATACAAACAACACAACCAAAGATTCATTCAGATGAGAAGTATTAGAATAAATTGTAAGTTAAGAGAGAATTAAGATATAGTGTCTTATCGAATACTACATGAAAATGAAAGAGAGAAAGAAAAGAAGAAAAATGATATTATATTATTCTCTTCAAATTCACTTAACATTATAACATAAATCATATTTATAATACATTACCAAATAAACAACCATTAACTCAAAAAATACACGAAAGTTAAAAATTTACTAACTCATAAAAATTAAGAAATATAGGAAATAGATATACGATGATCCAAATCTATTTACTATTAATCATAATCATCAAAATCTTTTACATTTTAAAAATAATTCACTCATTAAATCACTACCCATTAAATAAAAGTAGTTATTTTATTTAATGACCACGAGAAAGTATACTTTATAAGAAGGAAAACCAGAACCAAGTCCTAAAGACATGGACACGAGGAGAGCAATTATTATGGCTATTATACAATGTACAAAACAATAATACAATTATATAAATATACAAAGAAAAGTGGAAGGTGGGTGAAGCAAGAAAAAGCACTTTCGGCCGCGGTGGATGCCGATGCAGATGCTTCATCCTTCCACTATCTCATAAAACTATTTCTTCCACTTTTCTTCTTCTTCTTCCTCCAAAATCACCACACAAACATATACAACCTAGTACACATCAACATATACTACAACAACGACAATAATAGTAATAATAATAATAATATAATAATGTTGTTTAAATTTGTAGCAGGTCCAAGGAAGAAAAAACCAGGAACCGTTCCTGTCTACCTAAACGTCTATGACCTCACACCTATTAACGGTTATGCTTATTGGTTTGGTCTTGGAATCTACCATTCAGGTGTTCAAGGTAAATTCACCAACCACTTACCAACCCTCTAATTATTATTAATTAACCATACTAATATATTTATTATTTTAATGTAGTTCATGATGTTGAATATGGTTTTGGGGCACATGAAAATGACACAAGTGGTATATTTGAAGTGCAACCGAAAAACTGTCCTGGTTTCACTTTCAGAAAATCTATTTTCATTGGAACAACGGATCTGGGGAGTAAAGATGTTGGTGTTTTCATGGAGAAACTAGCGAGAGAATATTCTGGAAATTCTTACCATCTTATTTCTAAGAATTGTAACCATTTTTGTGAGGATGTTTGTTATAAGTTGACGGGGAAATCGATTCCGAGATGGGTTAATCGACTTGCCAGACTTGGTAAGAAATGTAAACTTTGCTGGCTTGGTTCAAGAATCACATGTTTTTTCTCATTGCATTTTAATACAACTTTGATATGTGTTATTCTGTTTTGTGTTTATGTTACCCTGTTTTTCTTCATTTAAAACCCTTGTTGTGTTCATGTGTATTTCATGGATAGTAGACCAAAATTAATAGTAAGTTATAAGCATTGAGAACTATATGCTTGATCTCCGAAATAGAATATGTTCGGTTAGCGAACTAAGTACTTGGGCTCTAGTGTTTTCCCACTTAGGATGAATTATTCGGGTACTACTTAAATTCAATTCTTGATGGAAATAAATTTTTATCAGTGAGTCGTCTCTGTGAACCACGAAATCAGATTAATTGGTTTGAATCAGAATTGATTGGTTAAATAAAAAAAAAAAAAAGTTCAGTTAGTATTAAAAATGAAAGATTAGGTGGTGAAGTCGCGTCTTACTACACTGGAGCGATACTTTCGATGCAACGAAGTGGGGCGAACTACGAAAGTATCAAGTGTAAAGTTTAAAAAAACAAAATCCAACTAATTAACTGATTTTGCTTATGCTATTGTTTTATATTCCACAACTTATTCTGTACTTTTTATGTGATTGACATTCCTATGCTAGATCTTGTAAATAAGTAAAAAAAAAAAACTAGGAAGCATTTGATGATTTTGAATTTCCAACTGTAAGATATTCTCCTTGATTTACATGAAGGTTTATTTTGCAACTGTGTTCTTCCGCCTGGCTTAAACGAAACAAAGGTTCGACAAGTTACATCCGACAGGGTTCAAGAAGGTGAAAAACGGAAAATCAGAAGTCAATCCAGCAGATACGAGGCTTCCTCCAACCCCCGCGGTTCATCTAGACATTGCCTTCGTCCGTCGTCATTGATGAAAGCTTCTTCAACCACAACATTAACAGTGAAGTAAAAGATTTGAGAATTGTGTAAGCAACAGAAAGTTGTTTATTTTATCCATCTTTCTGTTCTGATGTATATGTTTCATAGTTTTGCAATAGCTATTATGGAATGGTTGCATTGTGTTTTATCTAAATTTGCATTTTTTTCTAATTTTTTGGGTGTGTTTTTGTTCAATCTTGATTGAACTATTTTACTTGATGTAGCAAATAGTAATGTGTTTCTTGTGCAGAATAGTGTACCTTAACTGGAAATGTAAGAAATACTGAGGAAAATTATATTTTTGTAGTCTAAGATACTGAAAACAGTTGTGCATTGTGCAACTTTTTTTTGCTGTCAAAATGTGCAACTCTTTTTAATGAATAAATCGGGTCCAAGAGCATGAGGAAAACTAAATGCACGTTTTGTTTTACGGTAGGAGCACTTAGAATTAATTTAATGAACTTGTTGAAAATAGCCGGTTGAAACACAAATGAGTTATGTATAATTTTGTGGAATGTAGTATATGATTTAGGGTCAGTTTTTTCAGCTTTAAAAAAATGATTTTTTTTATATTTTTGAAAATAGATTTTACAAAATCAATTTTTAAAATATTACAAATTTTTTTAAATTCGTTTTTTTTAATTGTAATACTAATTTTTATGTCCTATAACATAAACATATATTATTTTAGAGCACCACATAGTTAAAATTATAATTTTTTTAAAAAATTATATTTTAAAAATAATTTTTATAAAAATCTATTTGAAATACCTTTAAAATTAAGTGATTTTTTAAAATTTTGATATCCAAAAATAATTTTAATAAGTATATGAAATACTTAAAATAATATTTTAAGAACAATTATTCAAATCAAATTTTCATTTAAAATTTTAATGAAAAATTTCTTTGTAAATTTTTTTACACAAGATTTTTTAACACTATAAAAATCATTTTTTTTAAAAGTCAAAACAGACGGGCTCTTAGTGGCTATTATTTGAATTTTAATCGATTAGATAGGACGTGTTAAGAATAGTGTATTGATCATGGAATATAGACATATTTATCGGAAAATTTATGGAAATAGTGAACACTGGTTATGAGGAAAGTCAATTTGACGTGCTTATAAGAAACTAAGTGGACAATGGAAAAACGAAAGAATTAGACAACTCGAGATTTAAGTTTTGATATGCTGGAAAAGTTAGATCGAAAAATAAAATGAGAATTATTGTAGATTACGAAGGAGTGGTAGAAGCATATCGTGGATGTGAAAAAGTAGGATATTGAGATGCACATCCGATAGATGCACATCTCAATATCCTCCGCATTTAATGAACATGATTGAAACTATAATTACTATTATCGGATCCAGAAACAAGAGGTAAATGAAGCGGATGAAAACGACGAGTAACAGTAAGGCGGCTTGGTCAGATAACATACCTATTGTAGTGCATAAAATTCTAGAAGATAGAGGTATTGTGTGGCTCAAAAAAATATTTAATGAAATTATGAGGTCAAAGAAAATGTAGGATGATTGGAAAAGAAACACTTTAGTTTCAATCTACAAGAACAAAGGGGATACACAAAATTGTGCAAATTATAGGGGGATTAAACGTATGAGTCATACCATAAAGTTATGGGAAAGAATGATTGAACAAAGACTAACAAAAGAGTCTCAAGTAATTGAGAATCAATATGGTTTTATGCTTGGAAGTTCGACCATGGAAGCAATCTATTTAATATGGTGTGTGATGAAGCATTATCAAATATACCAACAAGACTTGCAAATAATTTTTATTGACTTGGAGATAGCGTAATATAAAGTGCCTAGAGAGATTTTGTGGAAACCCTAAAGGAGAAAATGGTTATAATTGCATATATTTGAGCTATCAAAGATATCTATAAATGGGTATCGACTAGTGTGCAGACACATGGTGGAGTGACAAATGATTTGACCTTTACAACCGGTTTGCATAGAGGTTCAACCTCGAGCTCTTATTTTTTATATTAATTTTGGATGTACTCACAAGACACATCCAAAAAAGCTACCACTAAGATGTATGTTTTTTGTAGGTGATATAGTCCTACTTAGAGAATCGAGGGAGAATTTAATGAGAGGTTGGAGACTTTGAGACGAGTATTAGAAACACATGATTTTTGCCTAAGTAGAAGTAAGACACGATATATAAAATGTAAGTTCAACAAAAAATGAAGTGTTTCTAACCCTTAGGTGAGTGTCTGAGATCGTTCATCTCTCAAGTCATACGATTTAAATATTTGGGCATGTAATACAAAATGATGGAGAAATATAATGGGATGTAAACCATCAAATTCAAGATGGATGGCCGAAATGAAGGAGGGCTCTACGAATTTTACGTGATGTAAAGGTATCACTCTAGTCGAAGGGATAATTTTATCGGGATGCCATAAGACCTCCGATGTTGTACGTGATAGAATGTTTGACATTTAAAAATCAATACGAGAATAAAGTAAGTGTAGCAAAGATGAGGATGATGCGTCAGATGTGCGGTAAAACTAAACATGATAGGATTAGAAATGAAAATATTAGAGATAGTGTTGAGATAACACATATAGTAGAGAAGATGATGGAATATATATATATATATATATATATATATATATATATATATATATATATATATATATATATATATATATATATATATATATATATATATATATATATATATATATAGATAGATAGAGAGTCATTCCAAATTCAAAAGAAAATTTCCAAGAGATAGATAAAATAAAACACAACTTCTATTAATTAAAGTCATGCATCATAATATTCTTCTTCTTGATCATCTCCTCCTTCTTGTTCTACTTCCATATCTTGATGACAAGCTTCTTTGTCTCCATTCTGTAAGGAACATGATACATAAATTAATATAAGAAAATTATTATAGAAAAACAACAGAGCATTTGGTAAATATATTCAGAACAACTGTAAAGAAAAGAACAAAAATTAATATGTTTTAGGAATTTTAATGCATTTTGAAATCATATATCGTTTGTAGGAATGTGGTTCATTTGTAGGCAAAAAGAGACAAAGAGACAAAAAAACAAAAAGAGAACAAGCAGTATTTTAGAGTATACCTCTTCACAATAAGAAATATGAGTTGATGCAGACGAATGTGGAGTAGCAGGAGCAACAGTAGTACTATTGGAACTTCCCAAAGAGTCTATAAAAGGATAACAATGAGAATCCACAAGTCTATAACACACCCAATTACAAATTAGTTTTGTGTGTAACGCACAGACAAAACAGAAAACTTTCAATTGCAGTTTGTGTTTCCTCATCCACTTATTTTCCTTTTCGACTTTGTTGAGTCTCAATGAACATCTCTGCTTATCTAACTTCCTTTCTGTCCTCTTTCTTTGCACGCTACACTAGTTGATATTAAACACAAACAATTATGAATCACTCAACTAACAAAGAATTGTAAATTGAAGAATGTATAAACACCCTATCAATTTTGCACGAATCATTGCAAAGTTTATTGGTCTCATACGATGCATATACTTTTGCGTAGCTCTGTTCACAATATTTACTTTGCTAATTATCTATATTGTGGAACAATAAATGTTAGACAATAAAATATGAAAGTTGTAAATAAGTCATTTTTGTTTGCATTGATTAATTTCCATATGAGTTTATAGCTTTATTCAGTAATCAACCCCGAAGGAACAAAGAGATATGATAAATATCTTTCTAAAAAAAGTTGAATGTGTGTTGTCCAATATCAGTTTATAGCTTCCAGCCATTAATGTGCAAAAGTTTCCCTAAAATTATCATGTATAAAATTAAAGACAAATATTTACACATCAAATGCATAGTGAAGCAAGCATACAAGTTGCAACAAATATGGCAGACTCACTTGGTCAGACTCGTATCGGTGGTAAGGCAACATCAGCTGTCTCAACCAATCAGCCACCATGAGAATGAAAAAATTGCAAAACAGACATGGGTTAAGAGAACAAAACACAATACAAAGCAGGATAATGGAGAACAGGGACTACGTATGAGCGTAACTGATCGAAGAGATGAATAATAAGGCTTCTGATAATCTAAAGCAACCAAATTAGAGTATAATATGAAAATGGCATTCAAACTTACAGTCTTGTCCCTATTAGGACTTGCAAACTCCAAAGTAAATCAAATATCCTGACAATAAACAAAAACAAATTTTCTATAGAAGGATGTCTTAGGAATATCATAACAACTTGCATGCACAAAAAAAATGTAGCAGCAATACCATATTTATCTTGCCTTATACTAAAGAAAAATCCCAAGCAATATACGAGTTTATTGAGTCCACTGAGAGTATAACCTGAGATTCAAATATTATCATAAATTTTCATAAATTAAAAAGCGGTATAATGCAAACAATTTTTAAAAATAACTATGAATACAACTGAGTTGCAGATTTTCATGCGGGGTGAAGGGTTAGAGGTTTGATTTGCAGATTTGAGGGTTTTCGTAACCTAGATTTTCGAATTGGGGATGGCTTCGATCTTCCGTTTTTGTTTGCGTTGACAATTTCCATTGCAAAATTCATGAGAATGGTTGAAATCTATGAAGAGTTTGTGTTATGGGTTTCATGATTCTTGAAGGTTTAAAGTTTGATTTCAATGGGTTTTTTTCCTGTTAGGAGAAAGAGAGAGAAATGGATGATGAGGGGGAAGAGAGATGTGGGAGGCAGAAGAGAGAAAAGAGTTAGAGTTTGTACTTTTACAATTCGGTCTGGTTAAGGAAGGATTCTGGATCCGATTTGACTCGGTTTGACCCAGATTTTCTTTTTTTAATCTTAAAAAAATTAGAAAAGAAAATAATTAACGAGAGGGAAACTAAGAAAAAAGGAAAATTTAGGCCACAGTTTGAAGTGAAAATTATAATACTTCAGTTTTTTTGTTGTGGCTTAAACTATCTACAGGTTCTTAATTGTGGCTTAAATATAAATGTGATTTTGTAACCAGTACAACGGAAGAAAATACTACAGTTTCATACTTCGGATTCAATATTTCAAAATATTCTGCCCATGATAACCACACCAGCTGGCTTCTTCTTCTTTTTCTCTTTTTTCTTTTTCTAGCAAAGTCTTCGGCTCCTCCTGCCCCTTGGCTAAGGTCATGAGTAACCTGTTGAAATTGTGAATTATGAGCTTGCAGATCTTTAACCGTTTGTTCAAGATCCATCTTGCTGAAATAAACAGCAGAGAGATGAGGAAATTTGGTGTGAAGACTTGTTTATGCTTATGATGAATGATATGTATTCATGAAATGTTTTTCAAGGATTTAGAAATTCAAATTTGTTTTAAACAAAAAAGAAACACACGTCATATTAATAAGATAGAATTGTGAGTACATCAATGCCCCTTGGGCAAAATAATACAAAACTCTAAGGTAAGAAGACGTTGTGCATCCTCTTTGATGTAATGTAGGGTGTTGAGAGTTTGCTCTTCATGAAGTAGCCGAGTGAGTTCCAAAACCTTCTTCTCGCTTGCGTAGAATTGGGCTTCGAAAGTATCCGCTCTCCCTTGAGTTGTATCCAACTCCTTTGTAGGCCTTCGAGTGATGTTGGCATGTCAGGATGTAGACTCTGGATCCGGTTTGACTCGGTATCGACCCAGATTTTCTTTATTTTAATCTTAAAAAAATTAGAAAAAGAAAAATAATTAACGAGAGGGAAACTAAAAAAAAGAGGGGTAAGTATGGCGGGAATATATTTTTTTTGGACTTGGGCCACAGTTTGAAGTGAAAATTATAATACCGCAATTTTTTTTGTGGCTTAATCTATCTACAGTTTCTTAGTTGTGGCTTAAATATAAATGTGATTTTGTAATCATGACAACCGAAGAAAATACTACAATTTCATATTTCGGATTCAATATTTCAAAATATATGTCTACGATTTAAAAAATTCTGACTAAAGCTTGTATGTCACCATAATTTTTGAGTTGTAAAAATTTTTTACCGTGATTGGAAGTCATAAATGTTGTAGTGTTTGTCCTTGTGTGAAGGAGAAGGAATGAAAGAAGGAGAGAGAATCCAAAGTGAAACTTAATTGTTGTTGTAAAAAATAATATTATGATGGACTGATCTTACGGTATGCATATTTTGATTATTTATTAGTATTTTTAGGAAAGGGGGAAAGTAGTGTCCATATAAAATTGAGCAGGTTTGTTTTACCGAGAAAAAAAATTAAGCAGGTTTGGATAATTGGTGCATTGAATGAAACTTCATTAGAGTTCACACATATTTATAAAAAACAAAATCGTAGTCAATTTCAAATAGATATGATGAGCATATTTTGAGGACATTTAAGGAGAACAACACAAATTAATTTATGATATTTTCAATTGCCTACTTTCTTTTTTTACACTAAATTGCCTACTATTTATATATTTAATTAATTCTCTACTATAGAACTCCGAAACTAATGGATCTTTTTGTGGTAGTGCCAGATCTGTTGAGTGTCTTTGAAGGGTTTGTGATGTTTACATGCTTGCATCTTTTTATTTCTTATTTAAAAATTCTAAAATAGCTTTTCTCTTTCTTTTTCCTTGCTGTACTTCTTTAACTCGTAGCTGTAAAGCATACAACAAACACAGCAACCACACCGCACCGCATCATTCGTTACAGACTGATACAACTTTTACAGCTTATTCTAGAGAGCAAGCGACTAAAGAATAGTAAATTATAAGCTTAACAACTCATTTGGTCCTCTTAATTAATTTTAGAGTTTGTTTCACCTTTAGTTCTTCACAAAAAAAAAACATTATTGAAATCCTGTAAATTTTTACTCTGTTACATATTATAGTTCTTTTTGTTAATTTGTTAATTTTTATTATGTAGTTATTTGAGCTTTTAGTATGTAATTGGACCTGAACAATTTTTGCCTATATAAAGGAAATTGTGTTTGTATAGTAACAATATATAACAAATCAGTTAGATAATTAGTTACACATAACTAATTCATCATTCTCTCTCTCTCTCCTCTCTCTCTCTCTCTCTCTCATCTCTCTCTCTCTCTCTCTCTCTTCTCTCTCTCTCTTCTCTCTCTCTCTCTCTCTCTCTCTCTCTCTCTCTCTCTCATCTCCTCTCTCCTCTCTCTCTCTCTCTCTCTCTCTCTCTCCTCTCTCTCTCTCCTCTCTCTCTCTCTCTCTCTCCTCTCTCTCTTCTCTCTCCTCCTTCTTCTGTTTTCACAAAATCATCTTTCTTGAATCCTTTGTTCCAACAAATTGGTATCAATAGCTTGTTTGCGATTCAGAGAGAATCTAATGGCAAATGGATCAACAACATCAACACAGTTTTCAGCAAATCTACTAGTTTTCTCAAAGGTGAAAACTATAACGATGGGTGGCACAAATGAAGGTTATTTTCAGATTTCAAGATGTTGTAGAAATCTTGAACGATGGAATTTCAGAACTGGAAGTAGATGCAACGGGAAGCCCAGAAAGTTGCACACCAAGATCAGAGGAAGAAAGATGGCAAGGCGTTGTTCTTGATTCACCAGTGTGTGGATTGGGATGTATTTAAGAAGATAATTGAAGAAGAAACAGAAAAAGGAGCTTGGGAATAGCTGAAATCCTTGTATGGTGGAGATGAGAAACTGAAGAAGGTGAAGTTGCAGACTTTGAGGAAGCAGTATGAGATGCTTCAGATGAAAGATGAAGAATCTATTTCTGCATATTTCTCAAGAGTTTGGTGCGGCTAACAGGCCTGCAAAACGATAGAAAAGGTATTGAGATCTTTAATTACAGACTTTGATTACTTTGTTATAACAATTGAAGAGGCCAAGAATCTATCTGAGATGAAATTGGAAAAACACTTCAAGCTTCATTGAAGGCTCACGAAATGAGGCTGCAGCAGAGAAACTCAGAAAGAGAGAAGACAACTGAACAAGCATTGCAATCAAGATTCAACAAGAAAGTTGGAAAAGAGAAGTCGAAGCAGCGAAAGAATCTTGCTGGTGATGAGAAGTCAAGCAAGAATACTGATTCGAAAGGTGTGGGCAACAAGTATTCTGGGAAGAAAGTTGACACGAAAGAGGTGCAATGTTACAATTGTCAAGGTTTTGGCTACTATGCTAGAGACTGTCAAAGAAAGAAAGCTGCGAAGTCGAAAGATAGTGATGAAGCTCAATATGCACGAGCTGGAAGTAGTGACTCTGATGATGTGTTGTTGCTGGTGAACACTCAGTCGAATACTGAGAAAAACAACATGTGGTGTCTGGATTCAGGATGTAGCAACCACATGACTGGCAATAAAAACTGGTTTACCAAGTTAGATGAGTCAGTCGAAAAGGTGATGAAGTTTGCAGATGGCAGGCATATCAAGTCAGGTAGTAAAGAAGATATTTCGATTATCAGGAAGGATGGTCGAAAGGCTACTATCATTGAAGTTCTATATGTACCTTCGATGACAAGTAACTTGATAAGTGTAGGTCAATTACTTGCAAAAGGCTTCAATATGAAGTTGGAGAATAATCAGATGAAGATATATAAGGCTGATGGGAGGCTAATAATGAAAGCACCATTGGCGGAGAACAAAACGTTCAGGGTTGAACTCAACACATCAGATCACAAATGTCTTGCTTCAACTACATAAGAAGACAAGAACTGGCTATGGCATCACAAGTATGGATATCTAAACTTCAAGAGTTTATGTATGCTCAATAAGAAAAGAATGGTGTTTGGGTTGCCATATGTGAAGGAACCAAAGTAGATATGTGAGGAATGCTGCAAAGCTAAGCAGGCAAGGAAGGCGTTCAAACGTGATTTTCCTATAAGATCAAGGCAAAAACTGGAGATGGTTCATTCATATGTGTGTGGACCCTTTGAAGTAAAGTCCAATGGAGGTAACAAGTATTTCCTTAATTTCATTGATGAATTCACCAGACATATGTGGATTTACCTTATTGAGAGGAAGAGTGAGGTATTCACACAGTTCAAGAAGTTCAAGTTGCCTGTTGAGAAACAAAGTGATTGCAAATTGAAGAAGTTAAGAACTGATGGTGGTGGTGAATATATTTCTGCTGAATTTGCTAGATTTTGCAATGAGGAAGGTATAGAGCATGAGATTATTGCACCTTTATATACCTCAACATAATGGCATAGTTGAGAGAAAGAATAGAAGTGTACTGAACATGACAAGATATATGTTGAAAGCTAAGAATATGCCTAAGAGATTTTGGGATGAAGCAGCTTCGACAACAATATACATTCTAAATAAATGCCCAACAAATAAGATGGTCGAA